CCTCGCCTGCCCGCCTGGGCTCCTTAGGGCCCCAACAGGAAGCAGTTGCTGGAGCTAAGCAGCCACCACGACAAAGAGTTGGCAAAAGAGCTGGCTCAGTTCAAATTGGATCTGACCGAGAAGGAGGCCCAGCAGAAGCACCTCAGTGAGGACTAGGAGGATAGGCTTTCCAAGCAGAGGGAAGACCTGCAGGAGTGCAAGGCCAGGTACCGGCGCCTGGAGGCTCAGCGGGCTGAGATGGTCAGCCAGTTCCAGGCCATGATGAAGTCCCACTGGAACGAGGTCCTCCGGCTCTTTGCCACCAGCGGCCCTTCCCTCCAGCCTTTGCCCAAAACCCCCCACCAGGAGGCTGAAGCAGACCCCAAGTCGGAATTTCTGCCCCCCTCCGACCCATACAAAAAGACCCCAAAGCGGGAGACTCTCTGCAGCAACACAAACGTTCATTGCACGTATCCGGCCCAGGGGCCATAGTTTGAGGACCCCTGATTTAGTGCAATAAAAAATGCAAATAATTTTTCTACGGACCACCAAAATTTTCTCACAGACTACCAGTGGTCCACGGAAGACCAGTTGGTAACCGCTGGACTAGAAGACCTCCAAGGTCCCTTCCAAGTCTGTTATTTTGATTTGTTTGCTTTTCGCGAGCCTGATTTGGGCCACAAGAGACTGGTTCTTATACTCCTGCTAGTTAGTCCTTGACTTAATTACCATTCATTTAGTGACTGTTTGAATGAAGTTACAAGCACCTGATAAGCTGGAATGGGTGCTTTCATCTATTCTATGCATCATATTTATTTGGTGCCGTCTATTGGTTGATCGGTGTGTTAATGGCCAGCGATTGGCTCCTAAGTACCTGATAAACTGGTGGTAAATCAGCATTCCGGTTGAGTGACAAGGGGCCCATTTCCCAGGCTTCAATCACTTCCCTGGCTATCTTTATGCCTGCCCGGCCAACAATCTTAGTAGCTGCGAAATGGAATGTATGTCTTTGTTCGTTGCAATGTGAGCCTATCAATGAGCTTGGGTCTCCTTGTCTGATTGCCCAGTTTTGTTCTTGCAATCTGGTGGTAAGTAATTTAATGGTAGATAACATCATCACCATCCATGGTCCTACCTCTGGTCTTTAGGCCTGGCTGGAGGATTTACAGAGAGGCGCCAGGTTTAAAACACTGGTCAGGAAAATGGGTACAGCAAATAACGGGAGGGAGAACACCCCGGGGTGTTTACCTGTGCGAATCCTAAAAAGAAGAGTTGGTGACTCGTAAGATCCACGGAGGGCAGGTGTTTTTCCTCCCCATTCTTCTTCAGCCAAGCTTTGTAAGCCTGCAAAATCAACAAGAGGGGCATCTCAGAGTGCACACAGATTTACTACGTGCGACAACCCAGGAGCAATAACAGCAAATAGAGGTTTGTCAAAAAACAGAGATTTTATCAGCCAAAGAATATAATCTATACATAAACATATTATAGGCAGAGGTCAAACAATTATCAATTACAGCAGGGAAAACACACAGCGAGAGAGAGAAATGCTCTAACAGGGCCTCTTTTTATTATACAGGCTCTTAAAGGAATAACAGCCAAAAAAAACCCTTGCTGACTCATTCCCATCATTGCATCAGCTGGTCAGCTCTTAAATCACTACCCTGACAGGACATCTGTACTCCGAGACTCAGGAAGGGTATGAATCCTGCCCCTTCCCTCCAGGAGTTTGAACCTCAGATGAAGACGTTTTGAGCAAAGCTGGCTGAGGAACTGGGAGTAGAAGTCCACAAGTCTTAACGTTGCCAAGGTTGGAGAACCTGGTTCTAGTGTAGTGGACAATTTTCCCCCCAGGGCTTACTCACGTTGTAAGCGGCTTTCAGGCCCCCGTGGTCAGCAATGTTCTCTCCCAAAGTCTGTTTGCCGTTGACGTGCTCTCCGTTGACAAGGTATTTGCTGTATTGTTCCTCCATGCACTCCGTCCTGTTCTTGAAGGCCTCAAGGGATGAGTTTTGCCACCAAGGACGCAGGTTCCCTTCTCTGTCGTACTCTCGGCCTGGAAGGAATAAAATGTTTTTTTTTTAAAGTTTTTTATTCAACATAAATTAATACACGGTCCTGGCAAAACCTATGCCATACTTGCTAAGATCTCAAGTTATACATTATAGCCACCCTATTTTTTTAACATTTGATCCATACCTGTTTACCGTATTTTTCGGAGTATAAGATGCACCTTTTTCCCTCAAAAAAGAGGCTGAAAATCTGGGGGCGTCTGGATACACTGAATACAGCATTTTTTGCCTCTGAAAACCCCGCCCCCTTCACCAAAATGGCCTGAGGAGGGCAGAAGTGAGCATAAAATGGGCTGGGGTTTTTGCTCAATTTTGATCCCCAAACCCCAGGAGCACTCTATAAGCTTCCTAAAGACTATCCATGCCCCCTTTTTGGGGGCAAAAAACAGGCTCCCCCTCGCCCTCACCTGCCTGGCCGCTGGTGGGCTCTGTAACTGCCGCGGCGCTGGCATGATCTTAACCAATACATTTGTATGTTTGTTTATTAGTCATGTGCGTAGAATTTC